GCGCCACCAGTAAATCTACCTCCTCGTCTCTGACCAGTGGCACTGAAACCACCACTAGAAGAGCTAGAGCTATTACCACCCCTCTTGAAGTTTTGAGTCTGACGAGGCCCGAGCGATGCTTGACCTTTACCTTTGACATCTTTCTTCTGGTTACCATTCTTCTCATCGTCATCACTCTCGCTCGTCATGTTCTCAGAGTCCTCAAACCTCAGCAAAACCTCGTAGAACTCCTGATAAGTATCACAATGAGTGGAGGTCGACATCGAACGCCACTTCTTCTTAGTGCCGATGCGAAAACGACGAAGCATCTTTGCTGGATTACTAGCAATCTCAGGGTGGTAGCGAGACAAGTCGGTGAACTTCCGATAGTACTCATTCACAGTCATCTTCCGCTGTTTCAACTCAGTGAATTCCTGTTTCTTGCGATCGATGTACTCAGGGGGCACAAATCTCCTCTTAAATAACCTAATGAAAACATTCCAGTCAGTCTTCTCGGCTGGAGTCAAACTACGAAGCTCCTGCTCCCACCAGGATGCAGACTCCGTACCCAGAAACCATGAGGTCGTCTCGACCCACCTCTCAACAGCAAGATTCCCCTGATTGTTCAACACTCGGAAAGTCTTCTCGATATGTTCTAACCAACGCTCTGCGCCCTCGTGCCCCTCGTGACCGTGGAACTTATCCAATTTCAGATTGTACATAGTCTCCAGAGGAGTCCTCTGGGGAGGGCAGATAGCTGTCTGGATAGCAGTAGCAATAGCTTCCCCCAACTGAGTGATATCGGGGAAACTAGACTCATCTGAACGGCGTGGTTCCCGACGAGGCGGCATAATTCTAACAGAAGGCACCAAAACCATTAGAATACTCACAAAAGACACAGGACTGCCAAACCTAGGCTCTGATACCAAACTGACACACCCCAACCGAGATCAGGGCATGCTGGCCGTCACGTGGAAGTGACGTAGCCATGTGCACAGTGCGGAAGCTAAAAACAGTAATATAAAAGTACGAATAATTTAAAAACTAGCAAATATAATGTGACAATACGAGTGCTAGCGTAAGTGAGACGCTGAATTCAGAGCATAAAGACTACAGCAGTCCAAAGAAAATGATACAACAATAGTACACCCGAAGGTGACCCTACATAGGTGAGTATCTGTCAGAAATGCCGAGACGCCCCCTGGGAATACCACCGAAACCGCTAAGCTACTAGAACCTGGAGGGGCGCAAAACAAAAACGTGAGTGGGCAAAAACAAATTCTTTGAAAACCATTTCATAAAATACATTCTAACCCCTCGCCGTAAAACCTGTATACTTCCCAGAAAGTAAACATATATGCGTAGGTATAAATATGCCAATAATGATCAAATATATGCCATATCGGAACCTCAGAATGAAATGCAAGTGCTCAGGTATAAATCACATCAATAGCATAATAATCTGGCAGCCGGAGTCCCCTAAGTCACCTGTACGGCTGAATCTAGAGCTCAAATCTCAAACTCAATCACTAAACCTGCCCACGAGTCGGAACCACCTATAGTGGTCTATACGACAAGCCTGGGTGTAATACATATAAATGCTCTAGTGCTACGATCACGTGAAGGCTGTGCGAATAATCGCGGGTCACCTACGAGTCGGAACCACCTATAGTGGTCTGTACGACAGGACTGTGCACCTAACTTGGATCCAAGCTGAGCGTATGGTGCGGGAGGTGAACGACACGTGAAGGACTGTGCCCTACTCTGGGCGGGAGCACTAACATCGGGGGTGCAGGTTATGAGCTCTCTAAACATCTCGAATCGCTACTGAATGTAAACATAAATAACACTTACCTGGCACTTACCTGTGCGTCCGCAGCGCTTAATATAAATATGCATATGTATGCCACTACTAATGCATATGATAATACGTAAACAATAGGGATATGGTGCATGGCATAAACAAATAACCCTTTTTAAACAATTTCTGGGAATATAAATGTATATAGGTATATACGGAAAACCAAAAGCCCACTCACTGGTATGTGGAAGGATCGTAGCCCCCCTGCCTCGAATGTGCACGCTCATCCTCGGGATACGTGTCACCTATATGCGAATTAACTATAAAAACGTTAACTTTAAAGCACATAACCGTCCGTTCAAAATAATTTCTCATACATTGCTCAAAATGGACAAATGAATATACCAACGTGATCTACACAACCTCACGATCACAACCATATTTTTAAAATAATTTTTGGACCTCTCACGTGCCCCCACGCGCGGCCACGTGCCATGCACACTGACGGCGTCAAGTGACGCCGTCAGGAATATTCCGTTAAACCAACGGAATATTCCGTTAAACCTAACTGACGCCGTCACTGCCGTTAGGAATATTTCGTTAAACCCTAACGGAATATTCCTGTTTCTTCTTCGGTCAGTCGCCGTCGCCGACGCCGTCGCCGGAAAACCTGCAACTTGGGTTTTCTCGCTCGTTTTTCAACCGTTTTTCAAGATTTTTACACCATTTTAACCCTTAGGACTAGTAGAACACGTCTAACCAAGTTTTAAAGGCTAAAATCTACGAGAAATCACCTGTCCAAAACTCCAAAACTCGGCCAACTTCGAACCAAGCTTTCCCGACGTCCAAATTCGTCAAACGAGCTACTCCGAGACTCCTTGGGACACCACCAAGCTATCTATGTACTTCAAATTCCCAAAAACGCAAAGAATTAAGTTTGCATGAATAGTACCCCAAACTGCCATTGACGAAACTACGTGAAAACGACGGATTTCTTACCTGAAAATGGTACGGTTGTGCTCCCACGAGCTTCACGATCTCAGCTGTGCCTTTAGTTTCCTCGATCTGGGTCGATTTGGTGTAGTTATGTGTGTGTCCGTACGTTTATGGTGATGGGAAGGAAGAGGGAGACACGGGAAAGAGAGACAGAGAAAAGACAGAAGGAAAGGGAAAGTGACAGTGAGTGTAAGTGTGTGTGTGTGTGGTCGAACACATGCCACACCACACAAAACAACCAATAACGCGACCAAAACGAACTAGGGGCAAGGTCGTAATTTCACACGTACGATAATAAGAATTTTGGGACGGGATGTTACAATTAACATGACGAGTCATTTTCAATTCATACTTCATATGCTAATATATTATAGAAAAAACCGCTTAATACGACCGAAAAATAAATAGTTTATAGCTATTAATTGATATTACTATTTTTAATCAGTGTGACTAGGGATGGGCAAAATACCCATGGGTTTAGGTAACTGTGGTTACCTGCCTATTTAAAATTCACGGTTACGATTATGGGTAACCGTTTAGACAAATAAACGGTTATGGGTATAACCGTTTATCTGTGAAATTTAAATGGGCGGTTATGGGTATTACCCACGGTTATAACGGGTATCCATCGGTTATGGGTATTACCTGCGGTTATACGGGTATTCATTTACCCATTTCATTTAATATATGTAAAAAAAAAAAAAATTATCGCAAGGATTTTGAGGGTTTTAGAAGCAGGCTCTCTCTCTCTCTCTCCCCCCTCTAGTTCGGACCCCTTCATCTTTACGTTCACATGTTAGAACATGTCTTATATTGATGACAAAGAAAAAGAGTCCAGTTATAACTGGTGATGGGTCTGTTAAACATGGTGCATATAGTTTTGATGAAGGTAATGCAAGGAAAAAGCTAGCTTATATGATTATCTTACATGAGTATCCTTTGTCTATGGTGGACCACTTGGTTTTTAAGAGGTTTTGCAATTCATTGCAACCCTTATTTAAGGCTATTTCTAGAATTACTATCAAGAGGGATATTATGAAAGTATTTGAATCATCTAGTATTCAAGATAATGATTACTTTTTGTTTTTAGAAGCTTTACTTTGTAATCATATGGATTATAATTAAAGACTTGCTTGGGTGTAGCATAAAAATATCGTTCGTAAACTATTATTTTAATTATTGAATTGTATGAGGACTTAAATGATTTAAGTAGGGAAATGCATGCTAAAATATACCAATAACGGTGTTTAATTGTCAAAAAACAAAAATTATGACAAATTTTTCTTTTGTAATTTTCAAGTTGTTTAAAAAAAACATGTAGACGGGTGAAAAAAGGGGTAAATGGGTAAAAAAAGGATAAACGGGTAAATGGTTATGGTTATGGTTAAATGTGTAAATGGTTATGGTTAAATGGGTACACGGTTATGAGTATGGATAACCGTTTATAAACGGTTATGGTTATGGGTATAACTATTTATGCAATTACCTAACGGGTAAACGGTTATGTGGTAAACGGTTATGGGTAAATAACCATGATTACCCTCCTGCCATAACCGTTGCTCATCCCTAAGTGCGACACATAAAACACATCACACGCATTACGCGTCTAATCTCTGTATCGTTGTATATACAAAAAGATATATTCTTTTTTATAGGTACATATACATTTTGTCCTAACAAAGATAATGAGAGTGTCCTTTATTTGTGGTGTGTTCTAGAGTTTGGAGTCGTTTCATCGTGTGCCATTATAATCATAATGGGAACGAAGACTAGGAGCCCAACAACAATTCACATACTCGATAGCTGCTTGGATCAATTATTTCCTACTAAAGTACTATTTTCAGTGTGAAAAGAAAGCCATTTTCTAAGATCATATTTTATTTTCAGAATTGTCATGATGCATAAACCTAGTGGAATTTTCAAGCTCCTCCCAAACTTCGTAAACTTCAAAGTGGTAAATTTCAATGCTTAATTATCTCTAATCGATCCTCAAAGAAAAAAGAGAGGATATTTTGTCCTTTACGACTCGGAATAAAACAATGCATATCCTTCCTTTGGAGGATGAGCATACAAAGGTCACTGTATTTCACTTATAAATCTCAATTTGTTCAACCTCTTACATTACAGAAATCATATGATGAAGAAAAAGATTACATGACAATGACAAAGAAAATATAGCTCCATTCGTAGAAAAAAATAAAAATAAATAAATGACTGAATATGTGACACACTTTAAGAACAATAAATTTAAAAACTGAATGACGACCGTAAAACAAAGTATATGAAGCACAAATTCCAACAAATTGGCAACTAAAGCAAAACATGCAAATTGAAATCAAAGTACACATGCATGTTTAATTTTGTAACTCAAGTTTACCTCCCCATGTAAATAGGGGCTGTTGGTGTTGAAATTAAAGAGGAACTATCTTGTAACTCCGTTGTGGTACCTTCTTAAAAGTAGCCCAAATCAGATCAAAGTATAGTGGAAACTGCACTATGGCAAAAAAGGTTATCGGCAAGCAAGTGATGGCGTAAACCGGAAATGCAGCGTATTTGAGCTTATCTTTAAGCACGAAAAAATGTCCCGTGCAAAAAGAAACCAACATGGAAGCTATAGAGACAAACAGTGACGTCAAGCCTACCAAAAGCTTTCTCGGCAGGTCCTTACCGAAGTCCTTCTCTTGGTACCGGGAAGTTAAGATGGCTAGGAACATGACCACGGCCATGACGGAGAAGCAGAGGGCGACCAGGGAGGCAATGGCGAAGATGTTGAAAGCTGGCTGGTTTTCTAGGGTTGGTTTTCCGCTTTTTTTGTTCATGCCGCCGGGGATGGTGGTTGAGGTTGCAAAGGCGACAGTGGCAACGAGGGCGGCCACGACAGAGCAGGACTTGGAGGTGTTGGTCAGCCACTCCCCCCCAGTCTTGACGATTGTGTCGTGGGTTTCGGTGAAGATGTCCTTTGCTGTCCTGCCCTTCTTGTTGTGGCGGGCAAAGAAGTGTAGTGGCATGGAGGTTTTTACATACTACAAATTACAAACAACAAATTAGGAAATAAATTGTTTAAAATTGGGAACTTGATATTTAACTATTAATTTGTGAGAAAATTGGAGGCAGTGGTTCATGAATTATAAATCCTTAAGAATTGATCTCTAAAATTGTCATAATGTGGAGCAACGATTCTTTTGGGTAACTTCGTCACTAACTTATGTCCCTTAATACCTTATATATATATATATGAAAATTTGAACAGTGTTTCTCTAGGGGGCTCTAGATTGTGACAAATTCAGATACCAATATTTACCAATTCTTAGTTTCAAGATCAAAGCTCCTGTCAAGTCAAAATTAGGGATGAATGGTCAAATTTTCTTAATTTATTATCATTTTAATCTTTTATTTATTTATTTATTTATTTTTATTTTTTTTCAGAAATGAAATTATTCCGATTCTTTGTCTATAGTTTATTCACTGTCATCTATAATTATGTTGGGGAAATTTTGAAAACTAGTAATGTTATAGACATATTTAAGAACCTCAAGATGGCTCAAGAACTGTTCAAGGGGCCTTTTAGTGTAACTATATTTCTATTTTTTTTTTTTTTTAAAGAAGACCTTAAAATCTTTAATGTGTTAGTAAAAATATTCTCCAAATTTCGCATGTGTACTATCTTAATTTATACAAAGAATGCAACTACTTAGTATTACGGTTCAATAATATTTCTTTTTCACTTATAAGTGAGAGACCTTATATTTAATTTTGGCTAGCCCATCCTGACGATGTAGATTATCTACAAAGAATGCAAAATTTAGATGGTACAAATAATAGTTAGATTTGCTATTCGGTTCCCGTCCATTACTTAATCATAGTTAGATTAATTATTACCTAATTTTCTCTTTATATCGACAAAAATAGAAATCAATGCAGTTGGTGTGTGAATATTGTTTGGTAAAAGATATACCACAGATAAAATAAGGGTTTTTTTATTAGCATCTCACATATTGTTGAATGCACTCCACATAAATATGTATTATTAAATCACTCATGTATATTAACATGAAATGACTATTTAGCCCCAAAAAAAATTTAAAAAATTGAATACACAAATTATTTACTAATATGAACCCTATCTCTAAATTGGTTGTCTAAACCCAAACCCTAAAATCCTAAAACCCCTAATTGACAAAAACCCCCAAATTGATAGAAACCTAAACCCCAAAAATAAAAAAAAAATGTTATGAATTCGTAACTAGACGTACCTCATTTTGGATTTTGTAAGAACTACAACATTTTTTTGTTATCAAAATCTATAACTACTCCAAAACAAATTTTAGATTTCTCAAAAAAAAGAATAAATCCATTATAATATAAACAATTTTTTCTCTAAGTGGTAAGCTCAACAGTTGGCACTACTTTCTTTTAAATTTTGAACAGTAAAAAGAATTGAACCCATTATAATTTTGGAAAAAAAAAAAAATTTCACCCATGTCCTATCATTCTTTTTTGGGTCAAAATTTTGTGAGATTGACTCTAATGGAGTAATAGAGAGGGACACAAATTTTGGATTTGTGCTCTACCAGTAAAATAAACCAACAATCGAATGTCATGTAGTCCACCGCATATTAGCATTTACATGTTTAGCAAGAGTCTTGAAATTTGGAGGTATGGTGAGAATGAATAATGAGAGAATGTTGAACGTATGTGAAGAATGTGGGATGTATGTAGAAAGTTTGGGGTGTGAGTGTAGTATAGGAAAGTATGTGGGGTGTACTAAGATAAATTTTGATTGAAAAAGTATAAATATGGAGTTTATTTAGTATGTGAGGTGTATTCTAATTCAACAATATGTGAGATGTTAATAAAACAACCCTAAAATAAAATAGTATGATGAAAAAAATGATAAAATAAAAATATAAGATTCATCGGTTGAATATTTCAGTTCTTTGAATCCTTACCTCATACCATCTGATTTCCCATTGCATTTGCAGCGCAGCTCCAGGAATTAGCCAAGGCTTATGTTCTCCCAACTTTGCTGCTAGATGTAATGCACTATTCCCTTCATGATCCACTGTACTGACCACACTTTCTTTCAGGATTTTCCTTTTTAGCAAGAGGTTGTACACAAGGGGTTGCCTGTATTCCACTGCTAACAACACTACATTCTTTTTCTCTGTGTTCATATCGTGTATCGCCACCGGAAAATGTTCAAGGATCTTCTCCACCATTTCAGTCACCCCATTTTTTGCAGCAATCAGTATTGGCGATTCCATGTTTGCGCTTGGGGTTTTATTTTCCTCCGCCTTTTTATCTGCTGATGACCTTAGAAATTATCAAGCCATTTGATGTATAACAAAGGGTTTATTTTTAACTTTTTTTTTTTTTTTTTTTTTTTTTAGTACATCGATATTTTTACACTAAGGGGAGGGGGAGTTCGGCAAGCCACACAGTGGGCAACCTAATTTAGTATTGAATTCGTCATCAACGAGATTCGGACCTAAAACCTCTCTCTTAAGTAAAAGGTTTTTTGTTTTTTTTTTTTTAAACTTTAATCCTTGAAGAAGATTTTAGTCCTTTAACATGTACTTAATTCAAATTTATATGCCACTTAGTACTATGTGATATTTCTTTTCAAAGAGGTCTTAGGTTCGATTCTCACTAAAAGCGAATTTCAACCACATTATTGCTAACTCATTGTGAGGCTTAGCTCAGTCCCCCACCTCTTAGTGTAGATAATATTGTTTGTTAAAAAAAAACATTCAAATTTATATTATATTTTTGTTTTAATATTTATTGGACACCTTACTTAATGTCTCCACATTAAATTTAAATTTATTATTATACACATTTTAATTCATTAATTTTGTTTAATTCCTCTAATTAGTGTACCTAAGCCACTTAGTACTACGATCTGGTGGTATTCCTCTTCACTTATAAGTGAGAGGTCTTAGGTTCGAATCTCGTGGATGGGCGAATTCGATATCAAATTAGGTTAAGTTGCCTATTGTGTGGCTTAGCCAAACTCTCCCTCCCCTTAGTATAAAATATAATGTTGTACGAAAAAAAATTTGGTGTACCTAAACGTCCTAACCGTAATATATTTTACAGACTAGTGTACCGAAATGTCAGTACCTAATATAATATGATGCATAGTGGCACATAAGAATATATACAAAAACTGTAATATATTTTACAGACTAGTGTACCGAAATGTTAGTACCTAATATAATATGATGCATAGTGGCACATAAGAACATATACAAAAACCGTATTGTACCGAAAAATCTGTATCTAAACATATTATGCTAAATTAGGGTACCAAAATGTTCGTACTTAAATATATTATACTAAATTATTGTACTAAAATGTCCATACCTAAACATATTATACTAAACTAGGAAATCTAGTATTGGGACTAAAAATCAATTTTTATCTTGTATAAGATATTTTTCTAAACTTTATCTTATTTAGGGATTAAAATTTAGTTTTTTTTATATCAACGGATAATGAGAGGATTGATGAGAATTTTGTCAATGTAAACAGAACACAAGTCAGTGCACTACAAGTATTGTCATAATACAAGTGGAGAGATTAAAAAATAACTCATCTCTTCACTTATATTAGGATATGTGGTATACTGACTTGTGTTACGGGTATGAAAAAAACTCTTAGGAATCATGAAAAGTCAATTCTATTTTGGTCTCAAGTTTGCCAAGTGATCAACAACTTTAATTTGTATTGGAAAATAAAAAAGATTTCGACAAAACAAAAAAAAAAGTATTTTAGGGATTTAATTTAATTAGTGATTTTATATGAGTTAATTAGGGTTTTAATATGATTTGATTTGGTTTAGGTTTTTTTGTCTTGTAGACAAAGGATTGTTTTGATTTATTACCTAGTATTGCTCTTTTGTAATCTTATAAATACTTCTTTATGGAGAAGAATGAAGTTGTATTCGAGAATTGTAAGATTGAAGAGAATTCTAAATTTATCCTAAACCCTTTATTTTCAACTTGGTATCAGAGCAGAGTTCAATCCTTGCTTGAACTTTGTTGTGAGCACTTCCCTGTGGGTGCACGAAGCTAATTTTCTTCTTGCACCCACAAGCCACGAACCTGAAGGTGAAGATTGTCTACGATTATTAGAAGAAGATAAATTTTTGTTACCATGAAGAAAAAAAAAAGGAAGAAAAAGTCCGTAGTTTCGATGCCTAGGAGGAAAGAGTTTAGGGGGGAATTCACAGTAGGATCTGTTTCCTATCATGTAATTTTTTTTGTGTTTTATTTATTTATTTTTTTTCTTGTGAGTTTAGTTTTAGGCTTTCGAAAAGATTAGAGTTAGTTCCAGATGGGCTTTCGAATATAGATATTAGTTTCGAGAATTATGATTTGTTAGTCAAACTTTCAAAAAGATTGGCACTAGTTCCAGATGGCTATTCGAAAAGAGGCATTAGTTTAGAGTGATGGATTATAATTTGTTAAGCTTTCGAAAAGATTACCGTTAGTTTCAGTATATCAATAAAGATTAACTACACGTTTGGCTTCACTTAATACATGGTCCCACATGAAGGGGTGTTGACAAATTTTCAAATTAGATCTTATTTCCTTCTTGGCAAACGTATGATTTCACATCATAAGTTTGAGGGAGTGTTGAAAAATAAAAAATAAAGTATTTTAGAGATTTAATTTAATTAGTGACTTTATATGATTTAATTAGGAGCTTGACATGATTTCACATCTGCTGTCTTTTTGCACGTCTAGTTTATATAATTTGCATTTTGATTTAAACTCTAATCTGTTGCCACATGTACGTCAGAGATGAATTGTAATGTTGCTGCCCTATAGCCTTAGCAGCTGTCCTGTGCACTGGGAACATTATCCAAATCATGAAAATCTTCTTTGCTCTCTGTTTTCTTTTCCTCTCTACCTTTACATCCTCATTTTTTTTCTTTCTAATCTTTAATTCTAGATTCGATTGGGCTATAAGATGGTTTGAATACCAATCATATATAAAATTTTCTCGACAAACTAAGATTTATAAACCCTAATTTGCTTCCCTGTATTTGCGAGGGTAGGGTAAGATAGGTCTAGGATTTCTACTCCAGTCAAATGTGACAAAATAATAAAAATAATAATGATTCTTGAAGGGGCAATACTTTCCTCATCCAAAAAAGAAGCCATTATAAAGGAATACCATATCACGGTATGAATATCATAATTAAGCAAAACAGTTCATGTTTTTTAATCATCACCATCGCCAGAAAAAATTATTTGATTTGGAGGCTATTTCAAGGAAATTGACGGATCATCTTGAAGAAGATATTTGTTATCATAATCCTCAATTTTTTGACACATATGGATGATTTAATTTTGTTTAGGTTTTCTTGTCTTGTAGACAAAGAATTATTATGATTTATTTCTTAGTATTGCTCTTGTGTAATCTTATAAATATCTCCTTATGCAGAAGAATGAAGTATTAGAATTGTATTCGAGAATTGTAAGATTGTAGAAAATTCTAAATTTTATTCTAGAAACCCTTTAATTTTTCATTTTTTGTTCTCTGTAAATGTGACAAATTACGCATTGCTAGTCATTGTGTTTGAAAACAGTGGTTCAAGTTTTGAGGGTATTTTTTTAGAATTTTATTATTTTCATATTTTTCTTTTAATTAGGATTAGCACCCTAGGATTTGTAGTAGTTAAGTAACTTTAGCTTTACTATTAGGGTTGTTACGATGGGTCACCATAAATTCTAATTAAGCAAGTGAAATAGCTGTTACCTTCTGGGATCTTTTCTTTGCCATTATTTGGCTTCTCAGCCTTCTGTTCAGGCATGGGGGCGGGGACGGCGCTATCGGGGGGCATGAGGATGGGGCCGCCATCAGCAATGTTATAAGGTGTGGTTTCATCAATGTCATTTTCTTTGTGGGAAGGTGCCGTGGTGACCTGCGGATTCATACCACTGTCTTCATACTCATACATGGCAGCTCGTTTTAACAATTCGTTCATGATCATGATCTGAACAGACCATTTGTGTTTTTTTTTCTTTTCCCTTATCTTTCTTATCTGGGTAGATCCTTTAAACAACATATAATAATGATTAGATAAAGAAAATTATGTATCTAATTAAGAGAGATTAGGAGATAAAATGGAAAGTGCATGGTGGCTTTATTACCTAATCCAAGAACAATCAGCATTGCCTTTGATATAAGCTTGACAAACTCAAAGCAGGTTGTGTAGTTTCTGGGAAACTTTTGGTGTCCTTGACTTAGATCATTGGATTTTGACCCTGCATATACAATTTTCTCGACTAAGATTTTCTTCAAACCCTACACCCCAATTTACTCCCCTATATTTGGAAGAGTGGGGTCAAGGGTGAGGATTAAGATAGGTCTACGATTTCTACTTCGTCAAATGTGACAAAAAAAGAGTATGACACAGCATGCCTTCCTTAGAAGTTACCTGAATTTGAAGGGTTGAGGGTACGCTGTTTCTCTGGATCTGCTGATTTTATTTCTCTCCTCTGTCTCTGATTGGCTTGGACGACGTTTTTGATAACTACAAAATGAAGATAAAAAATTCAAATCTAAATTATAATCACTTGGCTAGAATTATATTTCTATGGTTGCTTGATGTTTGCAGGAGAAATACTCAAATAATTGAGGTATTTTGAGATATTTGTTCTCCTACCACTGGGAATTGTTTCCATGAACAACCTAATGAAGTTGATGCATATCTGGTAGTTTTCTGGATAATTGGGTTTCTCTTCCGATGTCTTAATTATTCCCTCATTATATGGCTCCCAGCGCTCCGCCTTGAGCTCATCAACATAAATACCTTCCAAATTACCATATATGTACAAAGAAGAATGAGTAGGGTGATACTTGTAATTAGATTTCAAAGTAACCAATACTAAGTACTAATACTCACAGTAGTAAATAATTTTCTGGAATAGGCCGAGGTGGCTACCGCTTTTGAAGGCAGAAGGCTTGGTAGCCAGAAGATGGAGAGGGGAAAAGCCTTGTTCATTGACATAATTAACAAGATCTCCATACAAGTCAATTATCTGAAATGCCAAATCTGTCAACCAACAAGGTACACGCTGTTATTTACTTTACATAAGGGAATATATAGCTGATATATATGGAAGTGATCCAGTTAAGGGCTAATTACCAAAGTAGTCCCCGGAAATTGCAGAATGCAAGATGGTATCACCGTCATTCCTCCTACAATATTTGTAGCGTTTCTCATGATCATCTCCAAGGGTAGGGGTAAAGATGTAGTGCATGCGTAAGAAGGCATTTTTTTTACCATAGGCAGCAGCCAAGAATAGAGGAGTCTCATTGTCTACATTCAGAGCACCGACCAATGATGGATGATCTTTGGCAATGCACGAACACATTGTCTCGTTTCCCATCCATGCTGCGACGTGGAGCGGGGTATTCCCTCGCTCGTTTTTAATTTTAAGCTCCTCTTCGGTAATCAGTTTTACTAGCTTTTCAACATGTTCTTCTTGGCCATCGGATACTGCTATGTGTAGTGCTGTGTCACCTGACTTGGTGATTCTTGCCCCACGAGCCTTCTCGTTGAGCTCATAGGTTCTAACAACTTCTTCCCAATTGCTTTGCATGGCAATTCGGAACAAGTATTTCTTGATCTTCTCTGGGTCCGTACTCTCGCCATCATCTGCGATAGAACCTGCCTCTTTGTTTGAGTTCACGGTAGAAGCCATTTTTTCTCTTCCTGATATGAGTGGCAGTTAACATTGACGTCTGTCTACATATTTATTCTGGCAAATAAACCATGTTTAACTTGTAAAGTACAATAGTTTCCAAAAGAAGATACTTCCTTCTGTGACCACAACTGTACCCTTTACACTTGCTAAATTACAAAGAAAATTCTCCCTTCACCCTTTTCTTTAATTTGGCCATTACTTATCTCCCTTTACACTTGTTACTCTGTACTAACATCAAAAAGTTCACAAAAGCTATTCCATACTCACTTCCCTTTTCTTTTTCGGTTTCCAGCTGTGGGCGTATAAGATAAGAAAGTCATTCTAATGACTGTTTCAAATGCAAAAGATGACCCATTGATCTTGATTTTGGAATGACCACCTAGCACTGCAAGTATTTGATGCTTCCTGAATTTACTTGGTGCACAATTTTCCAAGAAAAGTGATTGTTGGTGCTTCCTTTTCATTTCTTTTTCTTTTTTCCTTTAACTATTTCTTAAACTTGGATAAATATGCACACTACCAGAAAATACGACTTAGCTCTACAAAATTTCGCTATCCGACGGTTTGCTCCACGAATCCTATAGTTGTCGGCTAGGTTGATTTGGTATGACAACATGGTTCATCGGCTAAGTTCTATTGTCGGTGGTCAACGGCCCACATTGATTTGCAATAAATATCTACCAACACAACATTTGCTCGACGTTTACCTTGTACTTGCGTGACGGATTTGTTCATTGGGCAAACCCCTATAATAAGGATGATAAAATAGAAGTAGGTTAACGATTCATAATCAAGAAATATTTTGTAATGTTAACAATAACTAATAATTTTTCTTTGGGACATTTTGATCTAGATGTTTGGATTTTTGAATTTCTTAGACCAAACATCTAAAGCTTTTAGAGATTTGATCAAACTAGTAGTAAGTCATTACAATTAACGTCAATAATGATGATGATAACGTGATAACTAGAAATAGGTTAACAATTCATCGTCGAGACATATTTGTAACATTAACAATAACTAATAATTTTTTTATAGGCATTTGATCTATCTGCTTGGTTTTTGAATTTCTTAGACCAAACATCTGAGGCTTTTAGAAAATTGATCAAACTACTTTTCTACAATTTTAATTAATTTACTAATTAATTTCAAATTACACAAATTGTTATTATAATTAATTTACTATTTTTTTGAGTATATTTTGTTGTGAATTTTCCTAGTTTAAGTGTGATTGTGTAAATCATAGATTAGATTTGATTCTAGTTATTCTTTCCTATATGGACTTGTATTCCTTGGGGATGAAGAATTTCTTCTCCTCTTTTTAATACTATAAATAAAGGCACTACGTAGGGGGATAACATATCCTTAATACACAATTCCCTTATGATTCTACAAACACATCTCTCCTCTCTCTTTACCCTTGCCGCCGGCCCTCTCCTTCTTGTCAGATAAAATAGGCTACAACATGTTATCAGCATACTCCTACCGTTGCACTTAGGAATTTGACGTTGAAGATATTTCTGCATCAAACCAGTTCATCCATATCATCACGTAATTAAGTTCCTTCAAAACAGCGGTTCTTATCTCGATATTTTTGCAGCCCTGATAGCATGAACATTCACCATAATGCATAACCAACTTTACGTTTTTCGAATTTTAGATTCTACATAAATTATGTATGCATTATATTCATAATTGTTGAATTATGTGAATTTGATATTTGCCATGAATTACATCAAATATATGTACATGCATTAAACTATTGAATTGAATTACATATGCATATCCAATTAAAATGCATTGAATTGAAAAATAAAAAGAAAAAAAATTGAAATCTTCGAACCCTAGGGGTTCTACCCCCGACACCACTAGGCTCACACGAGCCCACCATAGGTTGTGAAGCACTGGAACACAACCCTTGCTCCATTTGAGAAGATGCATTTTGGCATCGCACCCTAACCCACGACGCCGCCCGAAGTTGGCCATGGCTTCACCGCCGTTGATACTTGGGAAATCATGCTCGCAGTCGTGATTGGGACCTCGCCATCTTCAGAGATGATGGGTTCTTTCTCAGAACTCCGATGAATATCGAAGAAATTCTTCGAACAGATTCCTCGAATCCTCACCATTCTCGGACCTCCCCAACGTCGAAACCTAGGCTTCCATCCACGATTTGGGTTCCTAGTTGAATCCCCTGAGGATAATTGCCTGAAGCGACGTCGGCGTTCTCCTGGTTTAATTCTGACACCGAGCACCGCAGGGGTGTGTCGGATCCCCTCGACCCGACCCTAAGTGGTCATCAGATCTTCACATCAGCGCCTATTGGGCTTGTTACTGCCATGTGTTATCCCAGCCCAAAATCCAACAACCCATTGGGTTTTTCTATTGGATCTAGCCCTTCCCCGTGTCGCGTCACATGTGATCCCGCCTCATCTGGGCCATCTCCTTGGGCCTGATTTCCTTTGCAAACCAATTTGTTGCTCTTGGGCCTGTAGCCCACCATCACCTGGGGCCTGATCCACCCGAGCCTATCTCAGCACATTCTTGGGCCTGGGCCACACCGCTCCTGCTTACTCAGCCCACCCGTGGGCTTTGGTTCAATTTTGGGCCCCGGGTTTTCAATGCCTAATTATTTTTAGGCCCAATGAGTTTTATATTTTTCACCCACACTTTAAATTTGGCCCGAAGTCCAAATAATTAATTCAATTATAGACCTAAAGTCTTATTTGCATATTTTCTTGTTACGTATTTCTGTATATATATGTGTTTGTTTGTAGGTACTATGAACCTAAAGTTCGTAAATTTTTCTCGACAAAATTAATTGAATGGATTTAAGTATTCGAACTTGTATGCATGTGACTGGTTCAATTAATTTTATTCTAGATATGACTAGTGGGAAAGTTAGTTGTCTGGTAGATAGTGCAACCACGGACATCGTTTTGCGTGAACGCATCTATTTCACTAACTTCGTACCTAAGAATGCACCTCTGACAACCTCTCAGGTTCATCCATCCTGATCGAATGATACAGAAAGACTTGCATACTGTTGTCCAATGGCACTATTTTAACCATTCAATAGACACTTTATTCTCCACATTCCGAAAGAACGCTATTGAGCATTAAAGATATTCGAGACAATAATTAGAGATAACAATTACCACGTTGAAACCCATGTAGAAAAAGGAGGTGAATCTATGCATAACTTCCTGCGAATATGGTCAGAAGTGTATTCTAGAGAAGATGAAGTGTATCCTGAGTGGTCTGTATACTACGACCATACGCTCTATTTGTTGGAAATGTGCCCTAAAACCAATCATATGATGATACTTTACGGACATTTCAAACTAATGTAGTTTAAATGTAAACGGGCAAACATTATTGTTTGAGCCGTCTCATATAAATGTTATATGCTTAAACGATAAGTCCAAGGAATATGTGATTGGAAGAATGTGATCTAAAGAAGTTAGATTCATGAGACCATTCTTTCGTTGACACATCCTAAACGTTCCTGATCATAGGATTGTCAATTGGGCATTGACAGTCCGTTAAGATCAGTACGTGCTATGTCTTCTCTCAGGGAGAGTGACTAGTCTCAAGTCATTGGTGTGTGTGACATCAAGACAAGTACGTAGGTGCTCAATAGAGAATGAGTTCACTGAACACGATCAACGAAGAGTTCTCATATTCATGTCACATGAGAACTCATGGTTGGGATAATGCAAATTAGTTTTTTGACCTGAGGCATCATAGTTGTCTTGTGGTTAGGTCCTTAATCTTTGATTATGTCAAAATCACTCCATCAAGAGGGTGTCCATGACATCGTTGGGGTTAAGCCACTTAGCCATGGAGGCAAGTGAATGCGCAACAAGGGATCTCTAACCTTCAAACTGTTTGAGGGAGAATACTCTATGATATGATTAAGAATCTTTGGCCAAAGTATGAATGAGATTTAGGAATGTGTTCCAAATCACATTCAAGGTAATCATATAAGCACAAGACTCACATTGGATAGTAGACATGAATAAACTATCAAACCAAACAATGTGGTCAAGAGTATTGTATTAGAGAAAGACCGTATTGCATTTGTAATCCTAAAACTGAATAGGTTATCCACCTCTTCTGATTAGCTTGGGTAACCATGACATGCTGCTAGGCGTCAACCATGGTTTGTGGAAGTCCTAAAAGTGTATTATCACTAACGGGAGAATTGAAAGTAAGTTTCAATTCACAATCGATTTGAAAGAGTTTGAATCGCCCACTGCCTCGCTAAAATGAACCTAATAGATCGTACACCGTGTAAGGTAAAGATTGAAGATTCAACGGAGATGAGTAAGAATAATTAAATGGTTTAATTATTTATGGCAAGGATTAATTAATATGATTATTAATCAAACGAATAAGTTCGTTGAAGACCTCGGGATAGTTTTGGACCTTAAGGCCCAATGGGCTTCGAACGTCAAGTCCATTGACTTAAGTTGTATGACAACTTAATGAATAATGATTCACAAAGGCCCAAATAGCCCAATGAATACCCTAAGGCCGGCCATTTAGAGAAAGAGTGGGCTTTGGACTTATTTACAAGTTTGCCACTCAAATGAATTAAGGCATAAGTGTGACTTAATAGCCAAAATTGATTAAGGGTTATTTTTGGGGAAATTGGAGAAACACTAACTCTCCTTTCTCTCTAGAAGTGGCCGGCCATCCTTGAGGAAAACATCTAGCAATCTTACTTCCTCAAGGTCACTCATTTCTTCTTCAATCTTACCTTGGTGTGGAGACTTAAAGGTTCTCAATTTTGGGAACTTGGAGAAACCTTTTCATCCATCCAAATCCATGGATCTAAGATGCAAGGAATGAAGGCCCTCTCTTTGGGTGATTAGCCTTTGCTTATGCAAAGAGGAATCTACAAAGGTATTGATTTCTCAACTCACTTTGTTTTTGAGTTGAGTCTTGGTTCACCTATCTACTAGGCTTTGAATTTCATGGGTAAATGTTTTGTTTTGAAGTGCATACAAGCATGA